ACGGTATATTATCAGTTATGTAAAATTATATGTGGTATCATATAATAGATATTTTTATGTATCTTCGAATTCTTCGTGAAAATAGATGTACAGTAAAGACGGAAGCACATGAAAGCACAGGTTTCAAAACCTCGCACGCTCGAAAAATCTTGATTCGAATCTAAATAAATGTGTGAAATATTATTGCTATACAAAGTTACAAAGTTATTTTTTACATTTAAATGTGAAAAAATTATAATAGCTTCGTAAATTTATTTGTAGAACCATGATATTACGTAGTCCTGTAAAATTTTATTCTTAGCTATTAAGCCGTTAGGGCTATACATCTATTTAAAATTCATGAAGTTTTGATTTACATTGTATAATGTCGCATGTTAGCGAAAAAAGTTACATTTAAAGAACGTTACAGTATACTGATATAATTGTGATCGATCGAATAATTGGAAATTTTTTGCTTATGTCCGCCTTATCCTACTCCCGGAACCCACCTGGAATTTTTTTTTTGCCTATTGTCTGGACTTAAGTTCCTCCGCTCTGCTCCGGAAATTAGGGTTAGGGTTAGAGTTTTATACTAGTTTAAAGTAAAATTGCATTTCCATCATTTTTTTTATTAGTGCATCATGATAACGATAGGTTTAGATTACGGGTGAACAAACGATCCGCATAATTCAGGAAATCTTGGCCTCCATCCGGCCTTTTTAATAAAGTTACATTTTTACGTTAAATCGTAAATTACGAAATTGTTATGTAACTTTACATTCAATAGTGAATGCTAATATGACCAGGCCAGCATTAATCACATGACATGAAATTTTGATTTCGGAAAATTTTCCAACTCCAGGCCTGTATGTGTACGCACACATGAAGTAATTTAAAATTTTTCTTATAATAGCAGCCAGAAGAAAACCAGACTTTGATTTTTTACTTTTTTACTTATCGGATTAGCTCTAGTGACACTATTTTTCAAAGCAACTCCTCAAAGTGATTAATTGAAAATTTCAGCCAATTAAAGTACTCTATAAAAAAAAAAAAATTGGTATCTTTTTAGCTCCGACTTAAATGGCAAGCACGATTAATTTGTTCAGCCAATAAGGTCATCCGTAAACCTATTGTTTGAGAAGGGCCTTAATCAACTGATTTATATGATCAAATTTTTACGAAAGCTTAAAAGACTGAATATGAATTACCTAATATTTGTGATTATGCAAAGCTAACTAATCTTATATTATAAGCCAATAATTATTCACCATACTGAAATTTTCCAAGATTTGCTCAAACTAAGGATTGGAACTGTTTAACCGCATAAAAAATTGTTTCATAATTTCGGGCCGAATTATGTTGATCGATCACGGGCCAAGGTTATCGTAATGCCAGTTGAGTTAAACGATAAACGATTAAAGAAATTCTAGGCGGTTCTAATCTAATAACGGAAATTTGGATACAAAATTTTTTTCGTGTCTCTATATCATATGTAGGGTTGTAAAATTACCGTAATTTTACGTAATTTTACGTAAGTTTGTGAAGTTTCTGAAATCAAAATTATACATAATTTTGATCGTGTGAATAATTTTGGTTAAAATTTTTAAAAAAAAAAATGAGTATAAAAATTATAGCTTCGAATATAATGATGGATATTTATTAATACTGGCAAAACTTTTGTAATGCTAGTGCAATTATCATGTGACAATGCATTATTTAATGACAGTTTCATTGTAATGTAAAATTGTAATTTTCAACCTAATTATATATTCCGGAATTTTTTTTGATTAAACGGCATTTTACAATACTGCTTAGAAATTAACCGGTATATTTCTGTTTAATTATTTCTTAATAAACAAACTTTTTTCTTTAACTTTAGGGTTAGGGCGAGGTCTATATTAGGGTTAGAGTTAGAGATAGTTTCGGCACTTGCCCAATCCCAAACTGGCCAAATTAGTTTGGACTTTGCATTTTAAAATTCCGAAATAATACTTATGATGTAAATTCTACGTAGCCAATTATTTGTTTTTTATTATATACGTAATAGATCAGGATTTTGGCACATTATTTGAATTTCGGCCAAATGTCCCAATCCCAATCCGGCCGAAATGCCCAAACTTGCCGTAAATAGTTTGGGCTATAGTTAGAATATTTATTATATGTAAAATTAAGGCGCTAGAAAATTTTTACTTAGTGACATGTGCAATTTCTTTATTATCGTTACACAAGATCCTGCGATTTTATTGGTTAATCATATAACCGGTGAATTTCACCTCCGGTGAGTCCAAGACGAACTGGGTAGAAGATTTTGAATGAAGAAAAACATGTTTTTAAAATCCGGCCCATTCTATACAAACATATACGGCTTCATTCTTATTTGAATTCCATGAACATAACATGTAAGACTTTTTAACAGCTGTTCCTAACCGGCCAAAAGTAATAATATCCATGGGAGATATTGACTTATCCATATCAATAATTGATGCTATAAAATGACTATGATAACGAAGTGGATCACCTATTATAAGCATATAATAAAATTAGAAATAAAATGATAATTTATTTAGTGCATAAAGCAAACACATAATTACATAAATTACCTGGATATAACAAATAATCGCCACCGAATTTGATACCGTTTGTGATAAAATAACCGCGATTCCAAAGATCACAATAAACCTTAAATTTGTATTCTTCTTTAGGTGTTGATGGCCATGTCCATAATCCAGCAAGTCTAGCTAACTCTAGGGAACTAAAGCAATAATCTTTATCATTGTACCATTCATATGAGGAAGAAGAGGTTTTGATAGTGATGGTTGGTGCGAAAGTTTTAATTAAAGAAGATTCATGATTTTGAAACTCAGAGTTTGAATGACTTATATCCTATAAAAATTGTTTGAAAGAGATATAATATATTGAATGAAAGATAACCATCAAGTTCCTTTCAAAAATTTTTCAATCACCTTTTCGAGAGCGTCACTTGAAGAACTATCTTTCTTCAAAGGTTTGAACTTATTTCTCTTCTCTTGTATAAAACGTAAATAATCATGCAATTGTTGAGACTCATTTTCAGATTTTTTTTTTTCAAATTCCTCAATTTGCGTTTTTGTAGGTAACAAGTGACTTTTTTCATCATCAATTAAAACAATAATTCCTATTACAACTAATTATTAACAATAACACTAAATTATAACAATGCTACCCAAACAATTAAAAAAAAACCTTTAGATAAAAGTAAGGTCACCTCCTCAGGCATTAAAGAAAGAGGTAACCCAAGAAGTTGATTTTGCAATGGATATCGAGGAAGACTACCGACCAATGAACCTACTATGCGATAATCCTTACGTAACACATGAACCGCTTTGCAATTTATAATAAAAAACTTTTAATTCGGACGTTTTTCTAATTTAAGCCAAGTTTTTTGATCAACACCTACTTTCAGCATCCCAAATAAAAGCTTTATTGTTTCTTAAAACATTAATCTTAAAAGGTTGATTATTTTGGGTTGACTCTATAAGCAAGACAAATTATTTAGTTGGACAAAAGTACAACTATTCTATTTAGAAATAACATACCCATTAAGGATTATTATACAGTATATATAAGTAGCGCAAAATGAGAAACCCTTACGTTCACCTTACAAAATTTAGTATCCGATTGTAGGCACTCAGAACCTAGTTATATAATACACAATCGGATAAAAGACAAAACTTACCGTATCGGTATGCATAAGTTGCGTAACATAGATTCAAAATGGTATTATTGTTATCGTTACTATACTATTCTAATTAAGGATTCGATAATCTTCTTTTACGTAATGCGAATTATTAATCGGATCATAGATCGTTCTTTTTTTAATAATTATTATTGGGCAAAAAATTTCAGTGTGTGAAAATATAAATACTCCCGTTTTTTTTTATTTTTCATTTTCATCTCTATCTTTAAAATAGTAGAGGATAAAAAAAATTTCATCCATTAAATCTCAAAAATGTATACCTTAATTGAAAACTATGATCATTTCAATAAATTGTTAGAAGACGCTTGTGACAATCTCGTATGTAATAACAAAAAAAAAAAAATTACTCAAAATGTATTATTTTAATGAAGCTTATCGATAATTGTATTTTGTTTACAAAAAAAGGTGGTTGTCGATTTTTATGCTGATTGGTGTGGTCCGTGCAAAGCAATTGCACCTGAATACGAAAAGTTATCTAAGTGTGATGAATACAAAAATGTCGTGTTTCTTAAAGTTGACACTGATAAGCAGGAGGTAATTTTGGATTTTATCATTAGTCTCTTAATACGAAGTGGCTTTTTAATTCATAATCTTTTTTTTTTTTTTTTTTTTTGCGTAACAGCAAGTCTCATCAGAACAACAAATCACGTCTCTTCCTACTTTTCGATTTTTCAAGAATAAACAACGTTGTGGTAATGATGTAATCGGTGCTAACCTTACTAAATTGAAAGAAGGAATCGAAAGTAATTTATAATTTATCCAATTAGCATAAGTTTACAATCATATTGCAACGAGTTTATCCTCCAAGATAAATTTGTAATTCCATATATGTTAATAAAATTTGTTAAACTGGGATTTTAAGTTACTGGTTATTATAACACATGAAAACAGGTAGCACTTTTAATTCAGTAAATTTAAGAAAATATGAATAGCGAATTAAAAGATCTAAGGATCGCCAATTATTGTAATTCTTAAATTTTGAATTTTAACACTTCATAGTATGTTATCAAACTTCGATATTTGAATCTATTTTTATATATCCGTTAAGTCATGTCCTGTGAAGTGAAATATCCGATTTTTTCTTGGCAACACTCATTTATAAAATATTCGAATAAAGTGTTCAGAATGAAGTGGGTGGGATCGTTTAGAGAAAGGCATAAAACAAATTTGCCGACTCAAATTTTGGCTTCATATTATATATTAAATTTTAAATTTTTATATCATTCCAACTTACGAAAAATATATATCAATTAAAATTAAAACTACGTACTTATACGTAATAATTAGCAGAAACAATAATTCAATTTGAATTAAATGTGGTCTTTGCCTTGAAATCAAGTTTTGATTGAGGTAATTTGACGAAGCTAAATTCGTTAATAATAAAAGTTTTTTATAACTCTTAAATCAGTTACAAATTTATTTAAAATAGCGGAGTTTGTTATTCAATGTAGAGATAGTACCCGTATAAGAGTCACTCGGGTAACCGGTATAAGGTCCGTTAACCGGGTCAACCTACTGCTACCCGGGTGACCCGGATTAATTAGTGAAAATAAACATTCATCCGATTGGCTAGTTAATTCAATTGTATGAAGAAACGGTTAAACAATTTTAATTTTAACAAACTCAACCTATTAAAATCAACTTATAAATTTACATAATATTGCAGATCTAGAATTATCTAGAAAAAAATAAAAATGTTTCAGAAGGCGATATTTACGGTGTCATGTCCTGTTGATATTTATAGCTTTGTGTTATGATAGCCGAGATGTCAACCAAAGGCCTTTGATGGACGTGATTCTAATATCAAACTTGCAATTGAGATTAATCGTGGATTACGGCCAGAATTTGCTTCAGGAACTCCTGAATACTAAAATTGTTTAACCATTTCTTCATACAATTGAATCAACCAGCCAATCTGATGAATGTTTATTTTCACCAATTAATCCGGGTCACCCGAGTAGCAGTAGGTTGACCCGGTTAACGGATCTTATACGGGTTACTCGGATGACTCTTATACGAGTACTATCTTTACCTATAAGTATAATCGTATTTGTTTTTTTTGCTAAGTAAACCTACTTTCTGCTTCAAAGTAAAGTTACTCTACAGGTTAAAATGATTCTAATGGTGGTAAAATTGTCAAATTTGGTCCAGCAAAACTTTCGCAACCGCTCTTCAAAGTTTGAGCGACGTTTGCTTACTGGTAAACAAACGTATCCCGAACTCTGACAAGCAATTGCGAAAGTTCTATCGGGCCGATTTGATGATTTTGCCACCATTAAAATCAGCTTGATCTAGGAAATAACTTTACTTAGAAGCAGAAAGTAGATTTACCTTGTACAGAAATCCTATATTATTAATTTTTAAATTAATCCGAAAATAAGCATCTGCTATATCTATTGTATAGCTTTTTTAAAAGCTAATTACAGTATTATCTTTTTCAATCCTTAAAATCTCATCAACAATATTCATTGTTATTTCCCATTGTTTTTCATTAATAATATGGGCATCCCATACTTCCGACCACCAAAATTAATTTTTTTATTAATTGAAGAAATTAAACAATTGCTAAGGGCCCTGTCAGATATTAGCTGAGATGAATTTACTATAAAGCCTAGAGATGGGCAAATTAATTTTGTACGTAATAATTACTTATGACTTACCGATTACTTAATGTTAAGTAATTATTACA